CACCCCTAGGCGACGCAGTGCCTTGTCTGCAGTATCTGGAATCCCATATTGAGACACAGTTCTCATTCGTGATTTCCATACCTTCAAGTTCAGTTAATCAAGGTCAATCATTAAGGAGAATAATACCTGTAGACGTCGACTGCGATTCCTAGCATTAACCTTGCTACGTTCAGTCACTGGCGATTGGGCAAAATATAGGGAATGGGTTTTCTTTAGCTGCAAGATAAACTGTACAAAGAATCGAAACACTTCTTCAACCTTGAGCTCCTTCATGAGAGGGAAGGATCCTGCGTGATATTCGGAGAGAAACGAGGACACGAATACGATAGCAACGCGCTTAGTCCAGTGCGTCAGACCCGGTGTCGCCCAATCAACTCGTAATTGACGCAGTGGTATATCTTCATACTGGGCAGGGTGTTTGCGCGATTTCAGAATGGTATTGCCCTCTCCGTAGGCTATGGGATCAGCAGATGGCCATTGGTCAGGTGAACTGCGTGCTTTTATGCCGAGCAGGTATAAAGCATGTCGTTTGATGTATTCCTAAAGGAGAATGAGGGATAATGACATCCAAGATAAATAGTAACCCACATAAAACTTCTGATCAATTATCAGGCCCGACTTCAAGGAGCTATTTTTGGGAATTCTACGCCAGTTCTGGGCCAGATAGTGAAGCTTTTTTTGATCTAAGGAACTTTGGAGCAATTCCATCCTCTGGTTTAAAAGGTCGATTTGGGGAAGAAGAGATGTGATCTGTCTCATATCTTTGGCTATGTTTACTTGCGGTTGAACAATTGCCTCTTGGCTCTTTGATCGGGGTCGGCAAGTTTCTAATGAGTGGTTCTGTGGAACGGTCGCTTTATGCTGACGTAAGGATGTAATAACGTCGGTACCAAGAGGAACGCCTACCTGATCCATGACTTGCTAACGCCATTTGCTGCCCATGCACAAGTCCGCTATCGCACTTGCAGGTTGCAAGAGAAGTGCCTGATGATACTCTGAGTGCCCTACCAAAGCAGTCGGAATGCCTTATTTCACAA